TTCAGAACACAATATGCTTACCACCGACTAATCCAAGACAAGTGTCTTATCTAAACATGTCAGTTTTTTAAAAATACAGACTGGCTCAGTGATGTACACATTACTTTTTGGATTAAAAAGATACTTGAAAAAACAAATATAAGGCACCTCAGCAGTTAAAAAAGAAGAAGTCTTGTTGACAAAAAATTAAACCAGACTTTTTTTTAAAAAACAGATACCTGAAATAAACATTACTCTGGTAAACTTAATAGATGGATCCTGAATTTGCTAACACCTTGCCTTTTATTCTTTTATGTAACTGTTCAAAGAATAAAAGTTATCAATTCTCCAAAGGAGAATTTTTTCTCTAATGTGTTAACTTGAGTAAACAATGATTTGCATTTTGAAAAATAAACTTCCTACAAACTCTGATCTTTTTTTCTTTAAATATTTTTTTTTCAGTTGTAGTTGGATACAATACCTTTATTTATTTTTCTTGTTTTAAAATATTTTATTTTTAATTTTTTTTTAGTTGTAGATAGACACAATATCTTTATTTTTATGAGACGCTGAGGATCCCCAGGGACTTGCACATACTAGGCAAGTGCTCTACTGCTGAGCCACAACCCCAGCCCTATTTATTTTTCTGTATGTGGTGCTGAGGATGGAACCCAGGGCCTCACATGTGCTAGGTGAGCGGTCTACTGCTGAGCCACAACCCCAGCCTGGCTGATGTCTTTTACAGCAGCACTCCCCCACAGAGCAGCACATAAGATGAGTAGCTATAGTTTAATGAAGTGGCTGCTATTCATTTGGGTTTTGTTTTGGTACTGGGGATTAAACTCAGGGGGTTCTACCACTGAGCTACACCCCCAGTCCTTTTATTATTATTATTATTTATTGAAACAGGGTCTCACTAAGTTGCCAAGGCTGGCCTTGAACTTGCAACCCTCCTGCCTCAGCTTCCCAAGTCACTAGGATTCCAAGCTGCCATGCTATCATTTGAGCTTTTGAATAACAGTATCTTCTACAAATGTAAACAGAAAACAAAGATGGGTTTTGCAGCACAGGGGAAAGGCTAGAGCCCTTGGCCTTGCCTGTCATTTCCTATATAAAGAGCTCTTTCTGCAGATCAAAGTGACCGCCCTGGCTCAGGGTGGCAGCCCAGTGAAAAGCAGCCATCCTCTGAGGCACACAGCCAATGGTGGCCTGACTGCAGCCTGCTTTAGAACTTCCCATGGGAAAACATATGCACTGACCCTGAAGGGCCACTGTGCTTTCTTCAGATGGGAATTAGGTAATATGGTGTTCCCCTTTGTGGCCCGGGAACCAATAAGTTCATTTACAAACCTATGTTTAACAGTACAGAAAGCACATGCATAAGACAGCAGCTAGTTATTTATTTACAAGGCAGGGAATGTTGAGTCCTTCAGGTTCACTATCTATCCAATGGTCTAAATCCATCCACTTGCTGATGTATGGAGTGCTTACTCTGTCACAGGCCTCATTCTAGGTGCTTGAGGACACTTCAGCAATCATATAAAGGTCCCTACCTCCAAGAAGTTCAAGTGGAGGGTGGCAAGAGGAAAGAAAAGAGCATGTAAATAAACAAACTACACTGTTGGAAGGAGATAAGTGCTGTGGATAGAAATAAAGCAGGCAGAGGGGATGGGTGTGGAGGAGGGTTCAGTTTTAAAGAGCATGATCACTGCAGGGCCTTCCTGCAAAGGTGACAAAGCCACTCAGATAATGTCCAGAACAAGCACCCTGTGGTAGAAAATGTTCCTGGCCTTTTAAAGGAACAAGGAGGCTGGAGGAACAAGGGAGGACACAGGAGGTGATATCAAGGACAGCTGTGGGCTACAGCTTTTGCATGGAGGAAGATGGTAGTCCCAGCAGGGATGGAAGCAGAGGATTTTCTGGCTGCTGTGCTGAGAACACACTGACTATGGGGACAGCTAAGTCCTAGGCCAGAGCAGTTGGGAAACCACTGTCATGACACAGGTGTGACACTGGCCTCTGCCAGGACAGCATCAGAAGAGGTGATGAATCAGGGTCAGATTCTGTGTATATTCTGAAGGCAGAGTTGACAGCATTTACTGTGGGTTGAGAGAAATAAGACTTGAGGGCCACTCCAGACCCCAGAGCTTCACAGCTGCAAAGACTACACTGCTTTAACCCAGACAGGGAGGTTGGGGGCAGCAGGGTGCAGGGAGCTTGGTTTGTCTCTGTTCCATTTAGAATGGCCAGTGAATGTCCGAGCTATCTCAGGCAGCTAGAGGGCCTGTGAGAGAAGCACCGTCATTCACAGATGATATTTACAACCACTAGATGAAATGTGATCACCAAGGGAGGGGCCTCAGAGAGGAGTGGGGTAGGCTCTAAGCCCGGGTAGCTCCTGCAGCATGGGGCAGTGTGGCTGCAGACAGCCAAGGAAACAGAAGCAGCAGACAGACAGGATGGCGTAGGACATGGTCCTGGACGTCTGAGCCAGAAGCTGACTGATGCATCTCTGTGTTGAGACCTGAAAGACACAGCAGCTCAGCCTCCACTCTAGGGCTCTTGTGCTACTGTTTTTCACCTTACTCTTAGTTGCCCCAAATCCTTAAAAATAAGGTGGCTGTTCATCAAACATGACTTTGGTGTACCTCTTTTAACTTCTGATCTGTATGTCCTCATCTGTAACAACAGGCAATAGTAGGCCTGAGAGAGAATACCTTAAGGTGGTTGTGAAGACAAAGAAATACTACTACATGAAAGTGGACTTTTATTAGTTTGAAGCCATAATATCAGCTGAGCTGTACAGCAGAATCTCAAAACATATATGTATCAGGCTTAGGAGATGGAACTGAATAAAACAGTTCTCAGACAAAAAATCTGCTTCACAGATGGTTTTCCAACAAGTTAAAATTTTACTTCTTTTTTTAAAAATATATTTTGATGTAGCATTAAGTAGTTTAAAAAGTATCTACATGTGATATTTCATTATTTGGTACTGTGGTTATATCAACCAATGAATGTTGTAGGTCCACAACAAAAATTTTTTGTGTGTGTAGTGTGGAAGATGTTTCTATATTTTAAGAGACAGAGTAGCCCTTTTCCTTTAGGTTACATTTTTGATAAATGATTATCCTACTTGGGGACATATATGGGGGAGGTAGGAATTACTGGAGATGAGACACACAAGATATTGGAGATGTGGAATATAATATATCTTGTAGAACTTAAAATAGAAACATGCCCATTAATATTACAGGCTCAACCCCATTGATACTCACAACTTTTGGGCAATACTGCCAGGTACATTAAACCTAAACTCAGCAGTCACACATAACTGAGCAAGCATGTGTGAGGAAGTCTGTAAGAAAGCTAACAAAGTGGGTAAATCATTTCACTGCTGGACACTGCATGCTCCTTAGATGAAAGGTGTCACCTGGACCCAGTGTCTGCCTCTGCTGTGAACAGAACAAGCCAGTGGGAAGTGTAATCAAAGCCACTGAGGACAGCAGTGGCTGTGTGTCTTGGCTGAGGTTCATATCCACCTCCATGGCACTGGATTCTATTTTCCTTGTGCCTGACCAAAATCTCCTCCCAGTTGGGTCTCCGCTCCACCTTCAATGTTTAACTTAAATAACAGATTACTTGGACTGTTCTGGAGAAGGTCTCCCTTCCTTGAGGGGGTTTCTGACTCTCATGTGTGACCTGGTCCCCAGCAGGCGGTCATGTCATTGGGCTCTGCTCAGTAAGCTCGATGCACCCTTTATCATGTTTGGCAGGGACGTCTGAGTGCTGCACAGGTAGGTTTTACAAACAAAATGTACCTAAGAACAAACCAAGTACACATTCCACATCTAAGCTGTGGCTGGACCCTGCCTAAGTACCGAGTGTGTGTGTGTGTTAGGCCAGAGCATCTCCAGTTACTGCTTCTTTCTCTAAGGTTTCCTGACTAAATCTCTACAGGAACAAACAGCAATTTCTTTCCTGATACATCTTTTCCAAGGATAAGTTCCAGAGGTCTGAATATCAAGCTCAGTTAAATTTAACTATTATTTATTAAACATCTCTTTAAAAAAAATTTTTTTTAGTTGTAGATTTATTTATGTGGTGCTAAAGATTGAACCCAGTGCTTCACACGTTAGGCAAGCACTCTACCACTGAGCTACAACTTCAGCCCTAAATATCTCTTCTTAAAAAAGTACAGATCATAAGCTAAAAAAACAGACTGTCAAATGCTCTTCTGAATCTTTTATTTTGCTTTAATGTTAGAGACTGTATCCTAAATTCAATTTAGAAATATTTAGCTATTTTGTAAGCAAGCAAATGATATACTGTTCCTACAACAAAAATAATAGAGGGCAGCTAGTCTAGTACTAAAACAAAATTTTCTATAACTTATTTCTAAATAAAATGTGAAATTCAAAAACATTTCATTTGCATATCAGTTACTCTTAAAAATACAACCCATATCTTGTCAATTAAAAAGATTTTATCCCTTTATTCCCTTGTTAGCCCTTAAAAGATTTGAGCAACAGCAATAATCTGATGTAACAATTTAAACATGGTTTCAGTTTGCTTTGTAGTTTGGTTTACTCAACTGTCCCTGGATGATGATCACATGCACAGCAGTATCCCTGCGGCCAAGGGCACAAGGTCAGGGTTCAAAGGTGTTATAAAGAATCCTAGTTCTTGATGGATGTGGTGGCACACACCTGTAATCCCAGCTACTCGAAAGGCTGAGGCAGGATTGCAAGTTCATGGCTAACCTAGGTAACTTGGGTGAAACCTTGTCTCAAAAAAAACCAGCAAAAAATGGAACTGGGGATGTAGCTCAGAGGTAGAGTACCCTTGGGTTCAATCCTCAGTACTCCCCGCCACCACCACAAATACTAGTTCTTAAATAGGACTACAGACTGTGCAGACAGACCATTCCATCTGATGGGCTTGATGAACATCCTGTCCTGACAGCAGAACAGAAGCGTGCGGTGGCAAAAGCAGAGAGGACTGTGCAGGACAGAACTTACTTCAGAACCTGTAGGAGTCCAGGTGTCACCGATGTCGGTCTCACCATTCCAGCTCCATTAATGGTCCCCAGATGAACCTGAGGATAATAGACGGTCCGGAGAGCGAGTCTTGAAGACTGTAACCTGGTCTTAATGACTTCTAGTGGGCAAGTGAAAATAGCACCAACTGTGCCCCCACACCTGGAAGAGAAGAGGTCACCGCAGGATCAGAAGAGTGGCCTGATTTTCTGCATGAGCAGGATGTGGAGTCTGACTCTTCTCTTAGAAAAAGGGCACATACATTAATGAAAGCAGAACACAAAGGAGGCTTAAAAAAAAAAGTTGAAATCCCTGAGTTAAAGTGATAACCACTGTCACCATGTCCTTCTATACTGGCACAGACACACCACCTTCTCCTGATTTTGTACTCTCTCTGTGTGTTGACATATAATATTTTTAAAAATTTTTTATTTGTTCTTTTTTGTTATATATGACATATAATATTTTAACAAACTTCCTAACGTTGGACATACATGCCATCTCTCATCTCACTACCTACTGCAAGGAATATTCTAGAAAGTGCATCTTTGCACGCCAAAACCAAATATTCAGGTAATGGCACTATTGCAAAATTCCATGTTTATGACAATACGGATCTTTATTAAAATCTAATTTACTTACTGCTTACTAATGATCCCCTCAAGTTAGCTTCCTAGCAAGCAATTGTGTATAGTTTGATTTGGGAACAGACTCCAGCACCAATCAAAACAACTTGTGTAACTATCAGGGCCAGCAGAAAATTGTTTAAAACAAATCACTTCACCTTACCCCATTGTTGCCCTTTTATCCCTTTGAAAATGGGGTCCTGGCCGGGTGCAGTGGCACACACCTGTAACCCAGTAACTCGTTTATCTTAAAACACCTACTTCAATCTTCTTTTACATAACAGGATCCATGAATCACGTTTGATAAGCTAGTTATAATGAACAATGTCAAGTACCATCTAACGCCACCACCCATACCACCAGGGATGCAGGCTTTCCTCCTTGAAAAATGTGACTCTAGAGCAGGATGATCCTCAAGGTCAGGACCCTGCATTCCTCCCAGTGAGATCTCAAATGGTACTTATTCATTTGAGATTTCACGGGGAATGTTTTTAAAAGGCACCTAAATAACTGGGAAGAGCATTCACCCTTTACCTTCCACCCCCTGCCGCCTGCACTTGCAGTGAGCCGCTGTGGGCCTGGCACTCAAGGAGGTTCAATCAGAATGATGCTGCACTGGCATCTCAGACTGGGACAGGCTAAGCTCGGAAGGACAGGAGCTGGCACTGTGCAGTACTCCCGCTAGCTCCCCGGCTCCACTACAGCTTCACCAACACAGGGTTAGGCGGGGGAAATCTAGAAGCATCCCAGGCCCTCCCACACAACTGGGGTAACCTATGAAGTCAAATCTCCAAGCAGGACGCAGATCAGGAGCCTGAAGCTCCACGGAGCAAGCAGCATTGAAAGCCATCTGCTAACCAACAGCACTGCTGCCATCAGCCCAGGGATGGTTTGTGTCAGTCCTCTGACAATCTTCAGAGGCAGGAATAATCAGCCCTATTTCACAAGGAGGAACCCAAATGTCAGGAGACAGAAATGTACAGATGGGGGAGAAGAGGACAGAGCCAGTGGGGGCTGGTTAGGTAAACCTGGTTTAAGTCACAATGAGGACAAATCCTAAACTGCTACCTACAAGGGTGGTTTCTGAACTGAGGGCCCAAGCCCATCAATCACAAAAGCACTTTGGAGGATCACAAGCAGAACAGGGAAGCAGGAGGACAGAAACTGATGAAGCCCTGTACTAAAGGCAACGTGGCTCTCCACAAGCTTATATACTTTTTCAAAGTCTCCAAGTCATTCAACCCAAACCCCTATCCAGGTCCCCTATGCTAAGATACCCTCTTGTGGGATATTTATGGTAAGAAAGCAAGTATTGTTAGTTTGGTTATACTACTATATATTAGCTTTGTTAGTTAACTCAGACTTTGTAAAACTCTCATGGATTTTTTAATCAAGAGGGTATTTTGAGCTGGGCGTGGTGGCACACGCCTGTAATTCTAGGGGCTCAGGAGGCTGGGGCAGGAGGACTGTGAGTTCAAAGCCAGCCTCAGCAATAGTGAAGTGCTAAGCAACTCATTGAGATCTTGTCTCTAAATAAAATACCAAATGGGCTGGGGATGTGGCTCAGTGCTTAAGCACCTTGGCACGTGCGCACGCACACACACACACACACAAAAAAAAAAAAAAAAAGAAGAAGAATTTTGAGTTTTACTTAATATTGGTCTGTATAATTTGTGCTTAGCACTAGGCTATATCCAATAAATAAATAAATAAATAACAGGATAACAGGGAGCAGTTTTAAAAACAGGTTGGAAAATACTAACTTTCTAACCCATGCCTAGTCATACAAAATAAATGACTCTTCTCCATTATAATACTAACTACATGCTTAAAGAAGTCCAATAGGTAGGCAGGGGCGTAACTTGCTGCCTGAAGGGCAAGAGGCTATGGCTTTGAAGGCCAGTGACACACACACCTGATGCATAAAAACTTCAAAAACTTACTTTCCAATATTTTCAAAATACTGGAAAAAATGGGCTGGGTTTGTGGCTCAGAGGTAGAGCGCTTGTCTAGTGTATGTGAGGCACTGGGTTTGACCCTCCGCACCACATAAAAATAAAAGGTATTGTGACTACCTATAACTAATATATAGATATATACACATACACACACACACACACATTTAAAGATACTGGAAAAATTACATGTTACAGAGTAAGATAAAGAAATATCTGGGGCTGGGGCTCAGTGGTAGAGCGCCCCCGCAGCATGTATGAGGTGCTGGGCTCGATCCTCAGCACCACATAAAAATAAATAAAATAAAGGTATTGTGTCCAAACTACAACTAAAAAAAACAAAAAGAAATATCTGAAGTCGATTTATGGTGAACAACCCAACTACATGTGACCAAAAGAAGCTTTTTAAAAAAAATAAAAGCTTCTGTTTAAATTCTTTTATCAGAAAGTCATAAAGTTCAAATCAGATACAGGTCAACCACCTTCACTTTGTCCCTCAGTCAGCTGCACTCCTGACTTTGTCCAAGTGTCATCCAAATCTATGCCACTGATGGAAGATGACCAGCAGGAAGCAGTCTGTAGACAAAGCTGCCTCCTGATAGTGAGTGACCTCTCTGAGGTGGGAGGCCACACACTAAGCACTACAACCACTTTCTTATGTTGTACCCTGCCACTTTGGTGCAAGGCCTGATGGTGACAAAAAGACCAGAGCCGGGCACTTGCAGGCTCAGCAGCTTCAACTACAAGGCAGGGAGGATGCAGTGTCAGTGTCAGAGCAAGCAAAGGAGCAACAGGAAGCACTGCGACAGAGCCCTGCAGTGCATGATGAACAAAATGCTGCTGCCAGGTGGGCCTCAACTCTCCTGCTGGAAAAACGTCTCAGACGCTGGGGCTGGGCTGGGGCTCAGGGGCAGAGCGCTCGCCTAGCATGGGCGAGGCCCTGGGTTTGATCCTCAGAACCACATTAAATAAAGATACTCATTCAACTACAACTCAAAAATAAATATTAAAAAAAATGTCTTAGAAGTGACCTATTTTAGTCAGCTTTATCACTGCTGTGACTAAAGGACCTGACCAGAACAATTTGAGGAAGAAAAGTTTATTTTAGGGGCTCACAGTTTCAGAAGTCTCAATCTATGGATGGCAGGCTCCATTCTTCAGGGCTTGAGGTGAGGCAGGACATCATGGCAGAAGAGTGTGACAGAGGGATCCAGCTCACAGGAAGATCAGAAAGCAGAGAGGCTCCACTCGCCAGATACAAACTATGTACCCTGTAGCCAGGCCCCAGTGAACCACGTCTTCAAGCCATCTGTCTCCGGTCTCTAGTCGCCGCCTCTCCATTAATGTCATCAGGGATTAATTCACTGATTAGGTTAGGGCTATGACCCAATCATTTTTCCTCCGAACCTTCTTGCATTTCTCAAACGTGAGCTTTTGGGGGACACCTCACACCCAAACCATAACATGACCTGTCCAAAGGATATTTTTAAGTCATTTGTGTCAGATACAAATTCACTGTAGTACTCAGATGAAAACAAGTTATAATCTTTAACTAAAAATTTGCAAATAAGATCCTTCCAGCTGGACATATTAGCACATGCCTGTAATCCCAGTGACTGGTGAGGCTCAGGCAGGAGGATGGCAAGTTCAGGGCCAGGCTGGGCAACTTAGCAAGGCCCTGCTTCAAAATAAAAAAAAGGGGGGGCTGGGGATGTGGCTCAGTGGGTTAAGCACTCCTAGGTTCATTTCCCAGAGGGCCCTCCTAATCCAGAAATTTAAAACATTTCCTATTAGTTTCTTTCAGTGGAACTCCTTTTTCTTTTTTCATGAACCAAAATGGACAAGACATTCATCAATCTGAGAAGATAAAATACTTATTTTGATTGGCCTTCCAAAGTTTTCTAAAAATATTGAATCATAGGGCTGGGCTTAGCTCAATGGCAGAGAGTGTTTGAAGGCCCTGGGTTTCGTTCCCAGCACCACACACACACAATCACAAATATTTACTTTTTCTAAAAATATCTGGGACCCAGGCACTTTGGATCACAACAAACCATATTCTTTGTAGAAAAGCTCTCCCCGCTGTCCAGATTCCTCAGTACAAACACCACCTGGCTGCACACTGGGCTCTGCCGCCCTGTGTTCCACTGCGCTGCACAGTGTTAACCCAGCTTCTCTGGAGTCTCAATTCAGAAAGGACACAGGCACTGGTCCTGTCACTGGTCCCTTACCCATGGCTTTCAGCTGTGCTCACTGAACTCCTCTTTCCTTTCAATGGCATGGGCAGATTCCAGACTTTTCCGTAACTTTCAGTTTTTCCAACACAGTCCCACTGACACTTCCATCTCTGATCAACTTCAAATTTCCCTCTTCTACTGCCAGGCAAACTTGTGGCATGTGGGGACTTGGCTTGCTCTGTCACTTTTTTCCCTTTGATTTATGGTTCTCTGGGCTTGGGGGCAGGGAGAAGAGACGTGGTCTTGTCTTATTGGGGGTCCATCCAGCTGTGTGCTGTACTGGTGGCCCCAGAAAATGTTACAATTTCAGTGCAACTGGTACTCAACCCACTCACCAAGCCCTG